ACCAAGACGTCGAAGTCCGTCGGCGCGAGCTCTCGCCGCCGCCGCGGCGGCGCGCGCGGCGGCGGCGCGGCGGGCGGCGCGGGCGCGGGCGCCTCGCCGGCCTCCGGGCGGGCGGCGCGGCGCTTGTCGAGCATGCGCTCGACCTGCGCGCCGAGCTGCTCGCGGTAGTACGTCGCCTGCTTGGTCCGGTAGAGCACCTCGACCTCGGAGTTCTCGATCTTCTGGCGCTTGAAGAAGCTCCGCAGCTGGCGGTTCCCGCCGAGGAGCATGGCCAGCAGGTTCGCCTCGGTCCAGTTGTCCATGGTCAGGCTCCGCGTGAACGACGTCTTGACGCCGAGCGACCGGTGCCGCCCCGCGCACTGGATGCCTGCGCGCGCGCGCGTCTCCGCCGGCGGTTGGAATTCGGACGCGGCGCGCGCGCAGTGCAGCGACCCGTGGAGCACGTCGCCCCAGTCCGGCTCGTCGGCGCCTGCGCGGGCGTCGTAAGCGATGGCGGGACGATGCGGCGCGTACCGCAGTCCATGCACTTGTCGTTCCCGGGTATCAAGCGGATCTTCTCCAGGGCGCCGGCGGGCAGGGATTCTGCTTTCGGCGCCTGCATGGCGCGGTCAAGGGCGCGGTCAAGGGCGCGCGCTAGGGACGGCAAGGTGTCGGCCCGCAGAGCGCATGCTTGATTTTGTCGACGACAGCATGGAGCAGCGATGGTGCCGTGCGGCATGGCCGGGTAGAGGCTGGCTGCCGCCAATCGAGCCTTAGAAGCGGGTAGACGCGTGGTGGTGCAGCGCGCGCATTAATAGAAGCTCATGGGCCGGCGCAAGAAGCATGGCGCCCCGGAGCCAGTGGCATCGCTGCTCCCGGCGCCGCAGCGCGCCACCGTCAAGCTGCCGACGTACCTGCCCGTGCTCCCGCCCGGCTGCGAGCCTATGGACTTCGCGCCGAAGCCGCTCAGCGCAGAGACGACCATCCTGGCCGAGGACGCGATCTCGGCGTCGTTCATCACCGCAGAGCCGGCGCTCTCGGCCGAGGAGTGCGCCGCGTGGATCCGATGGGGCGAGACCGAGGGCTTCGCGACGGAAAAGCACGCGGCGTCGGCCTACGTCGCCTACCGCGACAACGGGCGCCTCGCGGTGCAGTCGCCGGAGATCGCCGCGGCGATCTTCGAGCGCCTCCGGCCGCTGCTGCCGCACATCCGCGGCAAGGCGGCGTCGGGCTGCAACCCCAACGTCCGCCTCTACAGATACGACGCGTCGCAGCGCTTCGGCCGCCACGTCGACGGCGCGCAGCGACTGGACGACGGCTCGGAGACGGAATTCACGACGCTGTTGTACCTGAACGACGGCTTCGCGGGCGGGCACACGGTCTTCTACGAGTCGCACGCGCCGAACGGCCGGGAACTGCTCCGCGTCGCGCCGCGGCGCGGCGCCGTCTTGCTCCACGCGCACGGCGAGCGGTGCCTCACGCACGAGGGCGCGCGCGTCGACGCGGGGACGAAGTACCTCCTGCGCACGGACGTCGCGTACGGGTAACATTACTGGAGGCGGGGCCCCTTGGTCAGCTTCTGGGCGCAGTCGGAGAAATTGGACGCGTCGAACCGCGTATCGAGCTTGTGCTTGTTGAGCACGCTCGGCTTCACCGTCACGTTCTTCGCGGCGAAGCCGTGGTCGTGGTCGCGCTCCTCGACGGCCTGGAGGAAGGCCGACGCCGTGCAGGGGCCGAGCGCCGCGACGTCGGCGGCGGCGACGGCGGCGGCGGCCGGCGACGGCGCCGCCGCGGCCTCGAAGCCCCCGGCGCGCGGCTCGAACTCGCGGAGCGCCGCGGACCCGTCGTCGCCGCGCACGAGCGCGACGAGCCGCCCGCCGGCGAAGGCGAGGTCGACGGGCGGGCGATCCAGGGCCAGATCCCGCCGCGCGTCGAACGTGTCGGCGTAGACGACGATCGTCGGTTCGCCCTCGAGCGCGAGCGCGACCGTCGGGCCCGAGACCGCCAGCGCCGAGACCGTCGTCGCCGGGCCCCCGACGACGACGCGCGCGGCGCAGGCGCCCGTCGCCGGGTCCCAGAGCCGCAGCGCGCCGTCGCCGCCGCTGGACACGAGCTCCGTCTCGCTGAGGAACGCGCAGCCGGACACGAGCGTCTCGTGCCCGAGGCAGAAGCTCTCGACGACCGCGCACTGCGGGAACCGCGACACGCGCACCTTCTCGTTGCGGTCGCAGGTCGCGATGAGAGTGCCCGAGGGCGCGACGGCGATGCCCGTCAGCACCG